AAGCTTAAGTGGGATAGTTAAGTGAAGCCTCTTTCCTAAGTAAAGGTGCTGAGAAAAGGAAGACTCTGCAGGACAAGGAAAGCTTTGCCTTCTAATGTCTTCTTCTCACTTGATGAAATTGTCTTGATGCATAGAGGACCCTGTATTGAAAGTAGTGGCATCAATGTCTGGTTGTCTCGACTTTTCTCCAGACTCCCTGTCTGGTTGTCTCAATTCTTCTTCACTTTGGATCTCTATAAGGATCCTCTTTTGCAGCTGAGACTCCAGAATCATACATTGGGTTGTGATAGTTATCAAGTTCTGAAGACTCTTCCTTTGAAGAAATCCCATCTGAGTTTGGCTTGGCAACCTTGCTGGTCAAGACTCATAGAGCAGGGGTAGGCAACCTTTCCCCTTTAAGGGCCGAGGGACTTCAGCTCCCAGAATCCCAGGAGCTATTGACCAACATGGGACTATTGGCCAACATGGCTGAGGCTTCTGGGAGCTGGAGTCCCTCTGCACTTAAAGAGGAAAGGTTACCTACCCCTGCCATAAAGGGTTTTCTTACTTAGTTCTCAAATTCAGTGTAAGTGGTGATCAGTTTGTATGCCTTTCTTCTGCAAAAATCCTGCCATAGTGATTTTGAAGATGCTCAAGACAAGAATAAAATGGTAGCATGTCACAAACATAGTAACATTAGCATATGAAGCAGAATCATTAATGAAACTGAATCAAATTGAAGAGGAAGTGGTATTTCAGTTATATGGGCCAGTTCCATAATCAAGATAAAATCAGAGCAAGACAGCCATTCCTACTTATAAGTACTTTGTAGTTGTTGTTGTGTGCCTTCAAGTCATTTCTGACTTTGGTATTTTACCATTTAAATCATTGGAGTGCCCGTAGGTAAATTCATCTACCTTAAACAGCTGGAGAAAATCTTTTGCTGTGTCTTTTGCTGGAGCTTTTGCCCACATTATCCTGCAGTGTGTCGCTGTGTCTTTCCCTTCTTTTTTAAAATAGAAAACTCTCTAATTGCTAGATATGGATGCTAAGTGTGTGCACGGCTGCGTCCTTGCTGGAAGTGGCTATTATATTTTGAAAATTATAAGGCTACTGACTGCACTAATAAGGTGATTGCAGCTAGCCACTTAGTCTTGAGAATGCTTATGAAAATCCCACCCAAGTTATGTTGCTGCCCTGTTAGGCATCAAATTGTAAATGCCATGGTGAGAATGCTTTTTTCCAGCAATTCAAATTAGGCATTACAAGTTCTCATTCCTGTTGTTTAGCTCTGTGTGAAGAAAATGTTTTCCTCCATTTTGTAGGAAAGGGGAGTGGAAGAGGCCCCAGAAAGAATCTGTCCCACAAATCCTGCTTTTCAACATTGAGCAGAGATTAGAAAACATCCTTCCTTCCTTCCTTCCTTCCTTCCTTCCTTCCTTCCTTCCTTCCTTCCTTCCTATTCCTAAAGCAGGGTTGATGTAGACTTCTGGGTGTTGTTGGATGGAAATGCCCAGCAGCCTTAGCTTAGCAGAGGCAATATGGAAGAAGTAGAGGCTTTGTAGTCCAAAGACATCTGGTGGCGTTAAAGAGACTAATAATTGTTCACAGCTCAAGTCAAAGATGTCCTAACCTGGTTGTGAGCATCCAAAAATAGGTTAGAGAAAGAGAAAAGAAAGAGAGAGATCTTCCTCTCCAAACTGACCTGTGTTCCACCTCCCTTTAGTGGGAGAACCACATACACACTTTTATTGTTGTGTGCTTTCAAGTCATTTCTGACTTATGGTAACCCTAAGGTGAACTTACAGTGGAATTGGCTTGACAAGATTTGTTCAGAGGAGGTTTGCCATTGCCTTCCTCTGAGACTGAGAGAGTGACTTACCCAAGGTTACCCAGTGGGTTTCCATGATTGGACAGGGATTCGAACCCTGGTTTCCAGAGTCCTAGTCCAATGTCCAAGCACTACACCATGCTGGCTCTCAAAATGTTTCCTCCAGCTCTCCAAAAGACAGCCTCCAACCTCCAGAGCATTTCATGGTTTGTGATAGTTATGAAGCATGTATAGTTAGAGGAGCATGGAAATCACTTAGACAACATCTGGCTAGAGATCTGAAGTCGGGAGGAAACAGAGAGTGATTGCATAACATAGACATGTTACATGGACAGATAGTGTAGATACAGGCTTAGTTGTACCTTGAGAAGCAGGCCCATTGAAATGAATGCAACTAGCATTAGCCATGATGAATGCAAAGGTCATTGATTACCAACCCATTACATGCAAATCACACGCAATAAATGAACTTCAGAATCATATGAGGGATATCTCTATCTGAAGCCCTCAACTCATGTAATGTGCAATATAAAGACTTCCTTGCTTAGAATTCCAGATTCAATTTCTCACACCCTTCCATCTATCCAAATAGCATGGTGCTTAGTCTTAGCGAGAAATCAAACATGAGTGACAGACTTGGATTTCCTGCTGCATAAGGTAAATAAATAATGCCACATGTGCATCAATTGGACACATGCACACACACGGAGGAGAAGTAATACAGACTCTGCTCCCCCTTTTTGTGTTATCAGTATGAAAGAAAGACAGTGTAAATATAGATATATCCACCCTTGGATAATATACGATACAGGTTAGTGTAACGGGAAAGACACAGGCTGTCCCATAAATGTACTGAGTAATGGAGACGTGGCATAAATAATTGCGAGCGCTTGCGTCCTGCCTTCAGAGATTTTATTGCTCATGAGTTAGAATGGGTTGTCAAGTGCAAGGCATGGGCGGACGGTGCAAGGTGCCCTATTCTGTCATGTGCTACATATTTAATGCTCAAAAGAACAAGGAAGGGACATGTGCATGAGATGCACAGAGAGCGAGAGAATGGAACCAAACACAGAGCTGCATATCACTAAGGGCAAGGAGGAAGGGGGGTAGAAAGAAAAGTTGAATCATTGGGTGTAAAATTCAGTTGCATATTTAATCCTTCTTCAGAGAGGGGAGGAGAAGGAGAGAGGCAGAGAAAAACCGACCCCAAGCAATCAACCTTTTGCTTGGGCCTGGTTTCCATGGCCCTTTTGTTTCCTTGCATCTGGTGTTTTCACCCCTTCCTTGTCTTTATTTTACTTACTGTTCGGAGTCTTTATTATTATTATTATTTTGTTCCCGGAGCCTCAACCCAAGAGAGGTGCATCCGCTAACACCTGATGTGAGCATTGTGAAGGCAAGCAGAAAGCCAGAAGAGAGCAAGGCAGCTAGTGTGCAGTCGGCTCTCGACAGATGTCTGTATTCATTTATATGGCCAGCACGTGGGGACCGTTTGCTGGTTTCCCTGACTTCTCTTGCACTCTCCCGGTGAGGGAAGAGGAGGCAGTTTGCAGCCGACAATGAAATCTTGGCAGTTAATTGCAGTCGTGGGAGATGCCCTTCAGGTAAGGGGGGAAAAGAAGGTTCTTAAACCATTGCAAGAAAAGAGCAAGGGATGGGGAGGTGGAGAGAAAGAGATGGATAAAGACATCCCTTGCAAGGATGCAGAGTGTAGGCATGATGCTCACTACCAGAGATGCAAAAGGGTTGGTGTCGGTGTCTGTGGAAATGTGTGTGTGTGTGTGTGTGTGTGTACAGTGGGAGGCACAAACTGACATGTTTGGCGGCTGCTGTTCTGTAGCTGCCTTCAGCGGCGTGCCAACATTAATGCAGAGAAGGTTTGTGTCTGCATTTGGCTCCTCGCTGTGTGATTAGAATAGAGATTGGGACACATCTTGTGGAATAAAGCAGCACGGGACCAACCCGGGAAGCGTACCGATGGGTTTTCTCGTTTTAGGGGCCCCCCAAAACAGGTATTCTCTGAAGCGTGTAAACTCTCCTGAAGGGTTGTGCATCTGTTTAGCCATGCAGGTGTTTTGCAGAATGTTGTTGGCTGAAGGAATGGCTTTTCATTCATGCACCCGAACCGTGGAGAAAGTGATCCGATGGGGGTGAGGGGGGGCAGTAAATTCTCCTTTCCGGTCTGCAACTGAAGTTTCCTTCAACTTTATCTTTGGAGATGATGTTTGGCTTTCTTCTGCGTGGACTGCTCATGTAAATTAGTGTGCATTCATAACAGTGGTGCATGCCTCTCTTTAAATGGGATTTCTTCCTTTTGGGGGTTGTTGTATGAAAAATTAGTGCTATCTTAGATTAGAGATCTGTTTTTTGAAAAGTTTAAAGTGCTTGGCTGATGCTGGTTAGTAGTAAACTTTGCCAGGTTAGCAGAAGGACGTCACTTGCAAATAGTTTTTGTTACCTTGGGAGTTTAGAGGAAAGAGAAAACTTTGCAATTTCACCATTGGTAATTTGCTGTTAACTTTAGTGCTCTTATACCTATAAGTGCAAAGTAAACACAACAACCCAATTGGGTTGGTTGTATGTAATGATTTCACAAAACAGCATATATATTTGATGGTTCACATTGTGTGCTTGCATGCTGTTTGATGCAGTTTTGTTAGATATAGTGTGTGTGTGTGTTTGTGTGTATGTAATATCCAACTACTTTAAACCTTTATCCTCCTTCCCCATTTCCTTCCCTACACACTTAACAGCATCCAGTGCAAATGTGTTGTGAGGCTGCATTGTATATTAGCACTACTTTGTCACAGAGGTAACAAACAGGAAGAAACGGAAAGGAAAGTGTAGCATTTTCCAAAACTTGTAACTGGATATTAAGCAAATTACCTGAATTATGGTCTTTTATGTATTAATGATTCTCCATTTTTATAAGTGAGGCATCATTCTTTTGGAATAACTATGTAGGATTGCCTTAGGGTCGCCATAAGTCGGAAATGACTTGAAGGCACCCAACAAGAACCAAACTATTAAAAGACAATGGGGTGTTGTGAAGAGAGCAATCTGGAAACTTTTTTCTGTATGCAAAATACAATATTCAGGGCATATGATTTTGGATAGCTCTGAATTAGCTGTGGCGGTGCTGTTGTTCCCCTTGGAGTACATAATACTCCTCCCATTTTTGTGTGTGTGTGTTATTTAAATGCAAGTGCTGGAAAGTAGAAAGTACTTTGCACCAAGTTTAACTGTGTGAGTCTGTGCTGCTTGTTCCAGATCCCTTTAAAAAACCACAAAATAAGTACTGCCATGCATTTAAATGACCAACGTTGGGTGGTTTGTTTTTGCAAAAAAGCAGTGAGATCTTGGCAGAACATCCTTTTTCTAAATATCACCCCAAGGAGATATTACTTTTTTTTTTTGTCTTCTATATCTAAATGAAACTAAAAGGCAGAGTCTTGTGGTTGCCTAAATATTTCTCTCTCTTTCCCCCCAGTTCCTGCATTCATTCAGTCATGAAAGATACCTCCATAGAGCCAGGGCAATTGTGCTAGTCAGCTGTTTACTGTCAAAAACGTAACAGGGTGATCATGCCATCTGGTGCTGTTGCATCTAGTTCTTGGCAAGCAAAAATAATGGTTCATATCATTCTCACATGTAATCTTAAAAGTAAAGAGGAATATGATGAGAAGAAAATTGGGTATGTAGCCCTGCTACTGCCACTTACTAATAGGAAAATAATAATAATAATAATAATAATAATAATAATAATAATAATAATAATAATAATAATAATAATTGTTATTTTATAATGCCCTTTCCACCAAAGGGTGGTACATCAGAACATACACAATCAAAAATGAATGATAAAGCATCACACTATAAAACTCTAAAATGCTAAAACAAATAAAATAGTGAATTAGTATTTATTTCATAGCTTGGAAACCCTGATATTTTTTTTGGATTGCAACACCCAGCATCCACTATCCAGCATGGCTAGTGGCCAGAGATCATGCAGGTTGCAGAAATCTGGGAGTTATGGTCCCCAAACAGCAACTTTTTCAAGGCTTGTTGAAGTGGTCTGTCTTTTTAGGTGCAGTTTTAATTCATGGGTATCCAGTATCTGGATGAAAAGGAACGTGTAGAAAAAAAACTGCTTTTTCTACTCATGGACTGAGACTTTCCCAAAGAAAAGTTGAGCAGTAGGATGTATAGGTTGGATAGATGGACTTATAGGGTAAGTTAGATCCATCAATATACATTTTTGGGAGGAGAATGGGGCCAAATCTTTACTCATCTCTAAAGCTCATTGGTAGACCTTTGGCCCAGTCACTAACTCTCAGCCTAGCCTTCCTTGCTAGGCTGTTCTAAGAATAGAAGTGGATATCCTTAGGCCTGAAGCCAACTGCAGTAGACCCACTCAGGTTGCATCTACACTGCAGAATTAATGCAGTTTTATGCTGCTTTAACTGCCCTGGCTCCATGCTAGGGATTCCTGAGATCTGTACTTTTGTGAGACATTTAGACTTCTCTGTCAGAGAGCTCTGGTGCCTCAGCAAACTACAGATCCCAGGATTCCATGGCATGGGTCCAGGGCAATTAAAGCAGCATAAAACTTCATTAATTCTGCAGTGTGCCATCAGTCTATGAGAACTGCTTAAATAGTGACTAATAAGCCCCATTTGTTTCAATGGGTCTCTTGCATTTGGGGATAAAAGAAGAGTTGGCCCCTTCCATCTTTGGCTTCATTTTGGGAATAACCAGATCCCACTGGAACAGCAACAATACCAAGAAAAATTCTACCTTGTAAACACCTGATAATGTTGCATTGTAAGACACCTGATATGCTTTCAGACAATCTCATGCCATGCTATCTCACGTTTTCTTCTTCTTTGTCGTTGTTGTGTGCCTTCAAGTCACTTCTGATTTATTGCAACCCTAAGGTGAACCTATCAGAATGTTTTCTTTGAAAGATGTGTTTTAGCCTTTGCCTTCCTCAGAGGCTGAGAGAGTGTGACTTACCCAAGGCCACCCATCATGGTTTGCTTCATAATTTTTGGTGGTTGGTGAGAAGGAGATCTCAGTTTCATTTTATACTATGCCCCATCAACATAGATGCCAATTAAGAGCACTAATTGACCCATAGAATATA